GTTTTTAAAGGCCGTTTTCTCAAAATGAGTTTTTTCCCCTACACTGAGCCATAAATCTCTACTTCAGTAGCACTTACACACACCAAACTTTACATTTTTATTCCTGTATATATTCTGAAGATTTTTACAGAGGGATTTGTTCATATATAATTTGCTTGATTGCATACAACATTTTATTCCCCCCAAAATTGTGAAAATATATTGTTTTCTGGCTGTTCAAAGACAGTTGTTTGTGACAAAAAGTGACAAAAAGAGATACCCAAAATTCCCTCTGTAAAAACATTTGACTCTAATATGTCAAAAAAATTAAACAAGAATTTTGAAACTGACTTCATCCAGTGTTCAGATTTTTGTACTAGAAATGTATGCAAATTAGTGCATATTTCATTAAATAATGCCTCATTTGCATATTTAAACATAAACTTTTAGAAAACTTGTAATACAAAAAATGTTTGCAATTATCAATGTAATCAATCAATTGGGTAAGTAAGGTGATAACTATTAGTTAATATTTTTACCCTATTCACCTGCAGTGTCTCGCCTTAAAAACAATATCAAAAAGATAAAAACCACTAAAACACTATAAAATATAACCATCCCAAGAAAATGTCTCCATTTCTGTAACCACTGAATTGCAGTTTGCTGTGTTTTAGCGGCTGTTTCTTATATTACAGGTGCCTGATGTTTTGAGCGTAATCAAAAGCTCCAACGGTCTGTCTGATGCACCACAGATGCCTCACCTGCTACCTATCGCCACGGCAACAGATGCCAATTTCCTTATTTATGACATCATAAATTAATCTGTGAACTCAAATTTGAAGAAAATCTGCTCCTCTTTCCACTTTCAGACACAACACATGCCATCAAAAACAACACAGACGAGCGGAAATAATCTCAGTAAACAGCACAAGTCTTGTGTGGTTCCGCCACATTACTGGAAAATACATTTCTAGAAGTCTCAAGAGGCTTTGAAATGCATTTGTATTGTTTGTGAGAAGGATGTCATCATGATTCAATAGAGCAGAGAGGATGTCAAACACATATGATGGATGAAAAACACATGGAAACAGCGAGGAAAGGATGCGAAAGGTAAAAGTGAATATTTTGTAGCCTTTAAATTGATTTGTTACAGTGACTGTACATGCCCTGTCTGTCTCAGAGGACTGAGAACACAGAGAGAAACAGAGAGACAGAGATCCAGAGGTGCTGATGGGAGGGAGGGAACGAGTCAGATCCTTAAAGGAAGGACAGAGGGCGGAAAAAACATGACCTACTTCTGTTCCATCCCTTGTTTCTATGGAGAACGAGAGGAGAGAGAAGTGGAAAAAGTAGCAGGAGGGCAGAATGTTTTTTCAGAGAGAGAGAGATGTGGCCACAGAAAGCACTAGCTAATAACTTATTTTATGTATTTATTTACTTATTTTTGTAAAGTGAACTTTTGGGTATAAAGTTAAAATGTATTAAAATGTAGTATGCTACATTGTTGTCACCTGAATTTACAATGCATGTGAGTGGCATCTAGTTATCATATATATATTCTAAAAATTTCTATATCAAACAATCAAATGGCTTATCAAATAAATGTGTTAAAAATAACACTACCTTATATAAAAACACTATAAAAATAATAATAAATAACATAAAATAACTATAAAAAATTATATATATAAATAAAATATAATGAAGACAAATAAACAGTCAGCAACTAAAAAAATAATGAGAAACTAAATACAAGCAATAGGACAAAAACTACAGTAGATCAAATAAATAAGAAATGCTACATACACTGTATAAAGTAATCAAATGTATAAAAACAGTGCATATTCATCACTTTGTAAATTAAATATATATTTCTTCTTCTTAAAGTTACAAAAGTGATTTAGTCAAGAGCAGTGAGAAATTTTCTCTCTTTGGTGTTTGATTAACCAGGAGGGCAGAATGTTTTTTCAGAGAGAGAGAGATGTGGCCACAGAAAGCACTAGCTAATAACTTATTTTATGTATTTATTTACTTATTTTTGTAAAGTGAACTTTTGGGTATAAAGTTAAAATGTATTAAAATGTAGTATGCTACATTGTTGTCACCTGAATTTACAATGCATGTGAGTGGCATCTAGTTATCATATATATATTCTAAAAATTTCTATATCAAACAATCAAATGGCTTATCAAATAAATGTGTTAAAAATAACACTACCTTATATAAAAACACTATAAAAATAATAATAAATAACATAAAATAACTATAAAAAATTATATATATAAATAAAATATAAAATCCTGAAATATAAATCAAAATCCTACATTTTATATTAATCAGGGGTGGGTGATATGACCAAAATCTTATATCAGTATATGAGTAATTTTATTTCTCGCTAACAATATATATCACCCTAAATTACTTTGCTTTTGACACATACATGTGTGTATTTAACCGTTCAAGGTTTATAAAGCGGCAGAAATAACACTGTTCAATACTCCCGCGCTCTATGAGTACCATCTTCATGTGCACGCATCTCTCTGACAGTGCTCAGAAAGTCTCTCAGACAGTGTGCATATAGCGAAATGAATTCTCTTTCACTGCTGAATGCATTTCAACGGTTTAAAATCACTTGTTTTTAAACCGCAATGCTTAAAAACGAGTGCAAACGATAAGTTTTTGTGACCAGGTAGCACAGCAACGTCACGTGAACTTGTAACTGCAAAATCTCTACCGGTTGACAAATTTCTACCGGTTAATCATATCTCTAATCCTAAAGATTATTATATCAAATAACATATATTAAAAATGTATGCACCTCACTGGAAATAAAAGGTCTGACAGCACTGCATTATGGGATACAGTATTCCGTACAATGTGTATTTTAACAAATGTAGTAGATCTTCCATATAGTCTGTTCATACAGAAAAACAGTATAATGCAGCCATAGAGTTGTAAAATATGTTAGTATGTTATTCTGAACGATATTTTAATAATGGTGCAGAAATTACAAACTGCATCTTTAAACAGCCACCTTTAGCTTTGTTAAATGTGTTTTACAATTACAGACTCAAATGGATGTCTGGGTTAAGCAGTTTTTTGTCCTGTAAGCAGCCTGACATTAGAGCTTTTCAAGAAATCTGATCTAAAACGAGACTCTCTAGACATAACTTTATATGATTTTGAAGCCATGTTTCTGCTTAGCTTGATGATGTCATCCTGCAGTTCAGCCATGTTGTTCATAATGTGGTCATACATCGATCACCTTGTTAAGACGAGAGAAATGAGAAGAGTAATTTACGCACATTAACATGTCACACACCTGCTGTGAGTGGGAGCTATCTGAGGGCGCTGTGCTCATAATGTGTCTCTCTTTCTCAGTTTTCTTCTTATCCCCCATCTCTGAGAAGCATTGAAACGTCTCCAAGAAAAGGGACATTTCAGCATTCGCAAAAATAGCACAGGCAAAAAGGACAATGTCCCTTTCCGTCTCTCTCTGCTATCTTTGTTCCACCCGCTCTCTCTTCTATCACTCTCTCTTATGTTGTTTTGGTGTTCTTCTTTGTTTGGCACATGTTCTGCTCAGTAGAAGAATGAAGACTGCTGCAGGAAGAAGTCTGCATTAACATAACAATCCCTCCAGGGATGAGATCTGATTAACGGCAGGGCATCGCTGCATAACAGAGACATTGCACTCGGGAGCCTCACTCCTTGCCTTTGTACAGGATTTTCTAATAGTCAGTTATGGTGTGTTTTATTCAAGCAATAGATCAGGTTGGAGTTTAAAAACTGGGGCTAAAACCAAACACTGCTCAAGCAGACCACTGTCTCACCAAAAACAACAACATCAAATGCTTTCTCCTAGTCAACATCTCAACAGATAATGATTGAGAGTTAAAGAGTTAGTTGCTTTTTGCAATCGTCTAACACTTGCTACTACATCTAAATATGCTAACAGTTATGCTAACAGTTGCTAACATATACTCAACAAACAGACATGTATCGTAACAGCCAGATATTCATTAGATATTATTACAATTTAAAACAACTATAGACCTTCACCGTAAGTCACTACTACATCCAAATGTGCTTACAGTTACTACAACAGCAATTCAAAACAGACACTAACACAGCTGCGGATATTTAGCAAAACAGTCGCTACTACAGCTACTTAACCATTTGCTGAAATAAATGACACAAAAAAATGTCATTTGAAGGGAAGGGTTAGACAACAGAAATATATTTAGTATAATCATATAAGAAACAATTAAAAATACTGTTCACAAGTTCGGGTTTGTATAACTTTTTTAATGTTTTAATGTTTTTGACAGAAGTCTTTTAAGCTTACCAAGGCTTAATTTATTTGTTTAAACATACCGTAAAAACAGAAAATAGTGAAATATTATTATAATTTAAAATAACTGTTTTCTGTTTAAATATATTTTAAAATGTAATTTATTCCTGTGATGACAAAGATGAATTTGCAGCATTACTCCAGTCTTCAATGTCACATGATCCTTCAGAAATCATTCCGTTTGTTGATTTACAGCTCAAGAAATATTTTTGTATTATGATTATCAGTGTTGAAAACAGTTGCTAAATATTTTTGTGGAAACTGAAATACTTTTTTTCAGGATTTTTTTGGATAAATAAAGTTCAAAATAGCATTTATTTTAAATATAATTTTTTTAAACATTATAAATGTTTTACTGTCCCTTTTGAGCAATTTAATGCATCCTTGCTGAATAAAAGTATGCAAAAATCTCACTGACCTCAAACTTTTGAACAGTAGTGTGTATCTGTATTATAATAAAAAAAATAGGTAGATTGTATTTAAACATGACTAGGAAATTTGTCCACTATAACAGGACACTTCTCGTTTTATATGTATGATATTTGCCATAAACAAGACCTATCAACACACAACAAACCTTACATCTAAACAAAGTGTGAAAAACACATGAAGTATCCAATCAGATGTCATTATTCATGTTGGAGAAGACTAGAGGACTTTAACTTACCCTGTTAAAGCGCTTGGCCTGGAAGAGGTGTCCGTTCACCCGGTACAGCTTCCTCCATCGTCTAGCTCCACGGCGGTAGATCGATTCTAGGAGAGAGAGGAAACGGTTGTATAGGAGCAACATGAAGACTCGAGGAATGAAAAAAATCTATTCCAACACGGAATGAGAGAAGTGGATTCAAAGAGGAGTGACAGAATAAGGGAGATGGACAGAGTTATGGTTGGTCTTGACCCTGAACGTAGATGGATTTGAACTGCAACTGGATGAAAACATGTCCCACTCAAAAGCCACGAAAGAAAGCTATCAATCCCTCCCTCTCTCTTGCTCTTTCGTTGCGTCCCGGTCTCCATCTGACCCACCCTCCTCTTCTCACTCTCTCATTTCTTTTCTCTTGTCGTTCTGTTATTCCCTGCAGCATCATTTTGGTCACATGTCAACTGTCTAATGCAAAAAGTGACAAGCATCTACATTGACCTAAATTGATTTAACTAGAATGAGATTTTGATCTGCTGCCTAGGGGTTTGTCTTTATGCCTCACCACCTTGACAACACGAATGACGACCTTTTTGGGAGGTTTCTGAGCAGACCTGACTGACCAAAATACTGACTGCATCTGAATTCACACACTGTAAATATTATTGCCCTAAATATTATGCTAAATTAGGATGTATGTGTCCAAAATAGAGCGCTGAAATAGTATGCCAAGGTTCTCATGTCAGTCCAAACCTATATGACATTCTGTGGAACAAGATATTATGAACTGTCTTTGTCACAATGAAAGTCAATGGGGTCCAAAATAACATTTATGGACACTTTTCAATCTTTTTGACAAAGTCATGCAGGTTTAGAACAACACGAGAGTAAATGATGACAAAATTTTCATTTTCATAATCCCTTTATGTTAAGTATCACCTTAAAAAAGGAACTTCGCTGATTTTCAATGTCGGTATTATAAGTAAATGTGTATTATTTTCCAGTGTCACCTTCACCAAGATATCCCAATGTTAAATAAATAGTTATTTAAACTCTTTGAAAGACAAACATTGTCCTCAATGGTGACCCACAGGTACCTCAGATAGCCCTATTTCTCTCTGTTATTATACTCTTATCTAATGTTCCAGTAAAGATGGCAGACCATCATCATTTTCAAGCGTAAGGGAGAGGCTGAGAATTGTGCTCGAGCCCTGGAGATTTGCTGTGTCTGCTGCCGTTTCATGTTTCTGCCCTCAACTGCAGCTCAGTTACGTAAAACCGATAAATATTGAAATATTGTCGAAACTTTCAAGTGTCAGCCACTAATGAGCACCGGAGGAGATTCAAAGGCCTGGGACGCTTGTGAGTATGAGAGAGAGAGATCTAAGCAAAATGAGAAACTGAAAGTCTGCATTAAGCCTTCAGAAACTAATGTGTGGCATAAAGTATTGCTTGAATATTAAAACATGACTCCAATAATAATATACATTCAGCTTTGGAGTGTACTAAACTTAAATGTAAGTGTAAAACAACACTCATCACATATACACACCACACACACACACACATTCAGGCATTCAAAGTGTCTTGCATCTAAACTACACAACATGAATGATTTATTAACAGAACGTGATAAAGCTGAAACTCACACAGTGTTTCAGAGGAATAACACACATTCAGGCATTCAAAGTGTCTTGCATCTAAACTACACAACATGAATGATTTATTAATAGAACGTGATAAAGCTGAAACTCACACAGTGTTTCAGAGGAATAACTGATGCCCAAACAAAGCAGTTAAACATGAGGAGAGGAGCAGAGTTTTAAACTTTAACATCAAACCACATGAGGCTGGCTTGGGAAAAACAGTTACTATCATTGTTTTATATGGGAAAGACAAAAGGTTCTATCTTTTTCTGGGTGGATTATATAATACAAGGAAAATCTTGGACAAAGAATATCAAAGAACACATGAAAACAAATCAGAATCTTGTTCCTAAAGAACCATGTTCTTGTCATTGGTCAGAAAAACAGATGGACCTGCCTCAAACTCTCATCATTGGTTGAAATAAATTTAGTGCTGTCTGTCAGGCTCGTTAAACAGACGGAGTTACTTCTGATAGTGCCACAGAGCCACGGTTTTGACACCTTCATAAACCTATTAATTCATAATTTAATTACAGCTTTATCTGCATATTAAGCTGTAAAAATTACAAATTTCATGTTTGGAAGTAATGCCCAGTTATAGGTACAATAAAATACTAAAACGTCCATCAGTATTTATATCAATTAATATTCAGCATCTTGGCCTGCCTTGATGTTAGTTTCATTGGTTGAAATAAATTTAGTGCTGTCTGTCAGTCTGGTTAAACAGACGGAGTTACTTCTGATAGTGCCACAGAGCCACGGTTTTGACACCTTCATAAACCTATTAATTAATAATTTAATTACAGCTTTATCTGCATATTAAGCTGTAAAAATTACAAATTTCATGTTTGGAAGTAATGCCCAGTTATAGGTACAATAAAATACTAAAACGTCCATCAGTATTTATATCAATTAATATTCAGCATCTTGGCCTGCCTTGATGTTAGTTTTCACATGCCAAAAGTTTAATGCATTCAATCATAACAAAGATCACTACCATTCAAAATTTGGGGGTTGGTAAGGTTTTCTCTTATTCTCACCAAGGCTGCATTTATTTAATTAAAAAAAATGCAGCAATATTGTGAAATAGTATTATGATTTAAAGTAACTGTTTTCTGTTTTGTTGAAATATAATTTATTCCTTGAGATGACAAAGCTGATTTTTTTTCTTATGATTACCAATGCTGAAAACAGTTGTGCTGCTTAATATTTGTCATACAACCATCACACATTTTTCAGGATTCTTTGCAAAACAGAAAGTTTAAAAGAACAGCATTTATTTGAAATACACATTTTGTAACATTATAAATGTATTTAACGTCACTTATAACCAATTTAATTCATTTCAATATATTTTTTACTGACCCTAAATTTTTGAATGGTAGAGTACATATCTTATATCTTATTAAAGATCTTAAATATAATAGCAATAACACCTGTAGTGTAAGACTACTTTATGACTTTTTCACCTGAAGTCCAAAGTGGACTTAATACGTGAAAAAATGCTACAGAAATATTGAACATGGCACATTAAAAATTTATATATTTCTTAGCTGATTTTCTCCAACAAATGTTTGAAACAGCCAGACTCTACCTTACACTCTACCTTCTTCCAGCAAACAAAACAATTCACAATGTTCCTCTCCTTCAACAAAGCAGTGACAGACCTCAACAGAACTACAAACGATCATCCCACTCACAGAGCACAGCGCTGCTGCAACTCAAGAACAGCTGCTCAGGAAACAGCTACGTGTTTGCTATCATAATCATCCAGATGGCCACAGAAACACCTGTTCTTCGACCTGTATATGTCTGAAGCCCAGCTCGACATCTTGGCTCAGAAACTGGCCACACAACAATGCTTCATTTCTGAAAGTCAGATGAAATCATGCATTTTGTTATGATCTACAGTACCTCAGTGAAGTCTTTCCTCTTAATTGTCGCAGTCGGAAATGGCCTCATAAAGTCCTATAAACCAAAGCAACTGTAAATGTAAACTTGGCTCTGGCTTGCTCTGGAAAACTTGGCAGGGTTGCCACATCTTTCAAGACATGTTAGTGATTTTGAGTCACAATGATGCATTCAAGTGATTCACTCATGAAGGAACTGCTTTTAAAGCCTCTATCACGCTTGAGTGGAGTGGAGCTGATACCAATCGCCTGGAAACGGCCTGGTTGAGGGTGCAGCAGGCACAAATTCAATTTTTCCATCATCGCCATGGCAACAAACACCCTCTCCTGTGCCACCCGTGGCAGATGCCAGCAGCTCTGGTGGACGAGGATCCGGCCGTGAGAGTCAATACTCAGACAAACACACTACATGCAATAATAAACTGAACATCCAGCAATGTCTACAACAAAAACAAAGCAGTTTGCCAAATGTTGTGCAACAAAATGCATCACTGACAACACTGTGAAGTGCAAAAACAGGCATCAAAGGAGGAACATCAAAAATAAGAAGTAGAAGCTCTAGTTTTAAAACTAGACGCTTCTCTGAGCTCCATTAAATCGGAGGAGTCTCTGTTATATAAGCGGGTTGGTTTGTAGATATTTGCATCATAATTGCACATTTTTTCATTCCCTGTAGCTTTAACTGGTAAAGCATGCCGCTAACAATGCCAAGGTAATCGTTCGAGTTGCAGAGAACACATAAATCGACAAGGTTTGTCTCGAAAGTCGCTTGGGATGAAAGCATCTGCCAGATACAGAAATAATTCTCCAGTAGAATGTGATGTTGTAGATATTTGCATCATAATTGCAAATTTTTTCATTCCCTGTAGCTTTAACTGGTAAAGCATGCCGCTAACAATGCCAAGGTCATCGTTCGAGTTGCAGAGAACACATAAATCGACAAGGTTTGTCTCGAAAGTCGCTTGGGATGAAAGCATCTGCCAGATACAGAAATAATTCTCCAGTAGAATGTGATGGAAAAACACAAAAGCTGTATAACTGATCTTTCTCTCTTCTCTTTCTGTACAAAAAGAGCTGGATCTACGCACGTCTTCTCAAATCTGAAAGTGTTTGATCTTGCAAAACATTCGTAGGCCTCAGACAGCATCAAATCATCAAAAACAAACACTAGAGGACTGTTCTGAATAGACTGCATTAATGCAAACTGAACACAGTACAGTACCAAAATAGTTTATGGACCAAAAGTAAACAAAAAATGTCATCAAATTTATTATTAATTTTTATTTATACTATGATGAACTGATTTTTGCCAATATGCTAAATTATTGACATGGCACAACTGACAATTTTGTAAATGTATAAATAATTTCAGAAGTGCAAACACTGGGCTAAATAATGTATTAGTATTTGCCAGATCAGCAAGTAACAGATAAGTTTACAGCTACATATACAGCGTATATGTGTGTGTGTGTGTGTGTGTGTGTATACATACGTACTGTATATATAGCTGTAAATATCTGTCACTTGGTAATATATATGTGTATATATTATATACAC